CGACAATAATTGTCCTACTTTTCATTCCAATAGGACGAAAGTGAAATACTCCTATAGTTCCAAGACTAGACTGATTTTGATATTTTCCCCCCTTTCCTGCTACAGCATGAAAAGATCCAAGAAGAATGTGACCTGCATTCATATATACATGTGGATCAACTCCGTTCTTCTGAAGATCCTCACAACCAACACCAAAACACACTCATCAATTATGCTAAAAATTAAAACCATAATCGTTAATACCATCAATTTGTCACGCAGCACGCTTTTCATTTTCCAACCGAAAACCTTTGTGTTGTTGAATCATTCACATATAACTGTTCAGACACCTTAATAATCTAGGAACATAAAACCACCATTTTCATGGATGCAAAAGCAAATAGATAGATAACAAGAATCCCACTCTTCTCATAATATCTCACAAATTATTAAAAGCCAAGTCTCGATTCAAAGGTCAACGACAGCATTTTCGACAAGTTCATAGTTCAAAAACTACACTTTTAGAACTATCCGAGAGATCATATAAAAACCCATAAACAGTCGAATCTCTCTCTAGAAAGCTCACTACTCATCTTCCCTGACCGGAGAGAGCAAATTCTGAGATAACTCCGGCAATAAAACATTTATCACATAATACATAGATAGATAGGCAGATAGAGAGATAGATAGAACATAAGCCTCAATCGTCTTTTTGCCCCTTCACTCCCTACACATGACTCCTCAAGGCCTCGTTCTCTTTGGTTAACATATCAACCTGAGATTGAAGAATGTTGATCATTGCTTGGGCCCGCATCACCTCAATCTTCAACGTCTCGCGCTCCATTGAAACATTTAATATCTCATTCTCCAAATTGCTGATGAATTTCAAGTAGCCGGGCGGCACAGACTTCTCCAGGTTCGATGAATCAAACGCTAGGGCATTGACTGGATTACTATTACTATTATTATTTTTACTAATGAGATTATTACTATTATTATTATTATTATTTTCCTTAGGCTCTATGGGTTCTAACAAGGGGAATTCTAGTAGCTTGCAGGAAAAATTTGTCGTCATCATCATTGTTGTGGGAGGATGGTCTTGGCTGGTTGTGGTGGACTCCTCGGATCCATTTGCGTGGCTCGAGTTGGGATCGTCTTGCTTTGACTTTGACCGTTTGGATTGGGATAAGGAGAGGGGCTCGATTTCGATTTCATGGTCTTCAGATCTTTCCCTCTTGCATGCAAAGGGGAGACTGTGGGACCCGATTTGGTGGTCAATCTGTGGAGGAGCAATGGTGAGGGGCGGAGAGCCCTGCTAATTCAAAGGTGATGGGGTTAAATGTAAATTTATGTTTCCAATATAAACGAAAATAAAAATATTTCAGGATTATTGTGAGAAGATTGGATCACACATTAGTTCAGCAAATTGCACTTTAATAAGAAAGAAAGTAAGATTCAGGATATCAATCATGCTATAACCAAAGTGTGAGACACATCACATGTACAAATGAAATCCAACTATTTTTGCAGCATATATTAAAGTCGTTAGACCAACATAAGTTCTCTTATTAAGCTCCGTATAAATTATCCAACACTATACTACTAATTACAAAATATGAATATCTTTAGTCTTAAAAAATACATCTTATTTTATCAAATGCAAATGCTATATACCTTCTTCCATGACTACTTATAAAGACTGTGTTTAGTAAGCATATAAGCTATAGGACGAGCTTTTTTAAATAATCCCATTGAAATTTTTATTTCAGTTAGCTTATCAGCTAATTTTACCAAATATTTTCACCGTATAAGCTAGGTTTTCAGCCGTGAGCCATAAGCTATCAACTAGAAGCTCGAAATTCACTTAAAAGCTATGAGCTAGCTTATCAGCTAGGTTTACCAAATACCAAATACAGCCAAAGTAACTACACATTTAACACAAAATTATTCTAGATAAAACCGTGACATCATATGAGCGAATTCACACCCATGTGACGCAATCCCCCCATATGTCGAGTAATCTCTCATACACCTATCTGAGGCTGGAACAAAATGATAATCAGTACCACTGGTTGAACTGGAACAATTTGCAAGACTAACAAAAAAGATATCAATTCAAATATAGTTCCTGGTAGAATACACATATTATAATAGCACAATATTATCTGACCATATTTCACAGAAACATGACAAATTACGTGGTTTCACCAAAACAACAAGGTAACCTGAAATCACAGCATTTTCTTGCATCCAGCAAAGATACAAAACATAAATAGAAAAAGGACATTCAAGTCTCCACTGTAATGGAAAATCTTATAGTTTTGTAAACAGCCAGGGAATAGTTGTTGCAAACCTGCTAATAAAGCTTACAACACATTGTTCACAGCTTAGGGTGTACAGTGTGCAGGATAAAAGTGCTTAAGTCCTATTTTTACTTGTTATGACTAAAAAATTGATAAAAAAAAAAAAATAAATTACTGCATGATGAAGCTTCTATAATCATCAAATCACTTCCTACTTCTTTTCAACACATAACGTCACAAATTATCGAACGAATTACCTACCCCCTACAAATTTACCCAACAAACAGAATCAGACTAAATATATTTAAAATAAAAAAGGATGTTCATATATGTCGAACCTGATCAATATCAGTGCACTCAACTCGTGCCTCGTCCCCATTGGCAACATCATCTTCAACGTCTCCTCCAGGGACCAAGAGTGCCGCATCCTCATCCCATTCCTCCTCAACAAAAGGCGCATAACGGTCCCCATTAGGAGGCCCTAAACCACTCTTTTGAAAGATTCTACAAAGCACAAATGCATCCTATTTCCTCGCAAATAACAACAAAAGGAATTTTACCACTTCAATTTCGTCACTGAACATAACTTAACTCCAAAGAAAACAACAAGACAATGACTTATCTAAGGAAAAAAAAAATATATCATCCAACAAACCTGAGTAACACCTGCACTTTCCAATTCGGAATCACAAAGCCGATATTCATGCATCACCCAATTTGTTCTCTTGCCATCGGGGGCTCGCCCGCTATGAAAAACGAGTGTCTTCTTCATTCCTATGGTCTGGTTCTTGTGGCGCACAGCTCTATCTTTACCAGTTGCTTTCCAGTATCCTTTTCCGGTGGCGCGATTAAGCCGGGACCCATTCCCATACTTCCGGTCGACTGGGCTAAAAAAGTACCACTCCAGATCTCTAGTCTTTAAAGATGAATATTCTTTTTTTTTTTTTTGGCAAGGTAAGAGAAACACAACATGAGACTAGTAAGTTGGAAAGTAGGAACCACATAAAAAAGCAAATTAAAAAAGGTGTAACAAACAGAAGGGCAACATTAAGGACTTCAATTGTGGAAAGAGAGCGAGAGAGAAAGATGATTTATCTTTAGTTCATTCATTATTTTTGACACATGTAAACCAACCATTCCATTTTCATGACACTACAATTCTTATAATTTGGAACCAATAATATCAAAAAGTTGTAATCTTTACAGCGACGCACTCGAGAAAAGATATCAACAAACTAATTTACACATTACCAGCAAACTGAAACTGGATTTCCACACATAACCAAGCTATGTCAGATAATAAAGTTCACCAGCAAAACCCACCACAGAATAACAACGTGAAGTTCAAATAAACATCATCAAGGAAAATAGAAAGATCACATCTGGGAAAATTATAGTGAGGCAGCAAACGCATCAAACAACCAAAAGATAAGATAGATTTTCTGCACACACTCAAACAATTTATAGAATTTCTTCTAAACAAACAACCAAAAGATAATACAGAATCTCTGTACACACAGCAACAACAAAGCAACACTTAATTAAACTTGAGCGTATACAAAAAATTATATATTCACATACCAGCAAGCTCCCAAGGCTCAGATTTGTACACATCAATTTCAGTCACAGCTTGAAACCGAAAAGGCTTCCTACAAGCTTTCCTCCTCAAATAATACCTTACCAACTCCTCATCCGTAGGATGAAATCTAAACCCCGGCGCTAGAGATGTCGGCGGCGGCGCTCCCAACCCAGCCGGCGCCACCACCACTACCTCCTGTCCCATTTTGATATAGATTCACAATCTACGAAACAAAACCCAACTGATTCTAGGTACCCAGAAAGAAAAATCAACGCATCAACTGAAAAACCGGAAAAAAAAATGAATCTTGCGGGAAAAAATTAACAGGGAAAGGTGGGTTATGAGGAAGATTAGAAGGCAAGCAAAGGGTATAATTGAGACGAAAAGATGGGATTGTGGATGAGAAAATTTGGGGCTAGGTTTTTGCCCATGGGTTAAGAAATGGTGGGAGTGTGGTGTGTGATATGGATGCTTGCTTGACACGGAAATCGAAAATCAATGAAATGAAAAGGAAAAGGAAGCAAGTGTGTGGTAGGCTTAGCTGTTTATCATTGCCATTTCTTTTTTTTTTTTCGCTCATTATCTCTTATGATTTTATTTGGAATACACATAAAATGACCTATGAAAATAGCGTAATGTTAAAAAAATTAAGTAAAATGTTTTATTGCCTTATCTTTTTTCTTCCAATAATTATGTCTAGTTTTCTTTTTTTTTTTTCAAACTAATGTGCATCTCGTGTGATGCACGAGCGGATTTGTTACTTAAAATACTTTTAAAAATTTTATTTTAAACATAATTATTTATATTTATCATCTCAGTATTATAAGAAAAAATAAATACAAAATATAAAAAATTATATATTATTTATTTGAACTAATGATGAATTTTACAAATTATTGTATTAAGTTTGATGTATGCCAAATTAGTGAACCATTTCTGGAAAATGACCAATATAATGGACCAAAAAAGAAATTTTGCCCTAAAAATGATTATTATTGTAGTATAACACACGATATATGATAAAATTATATAAATCGTCATTTTAAAAAAAACATATATATATATATATACACATATAGGAGATATTTAAGTTTCGCATTAAAATTTTAATTTGTATACGATGTAAAATAGATGTGCACAAAGAAGGTACCAATAATCCACATAATATGATATTCTCTCTAAACTTAAAAAGATTCTCTAATTAGAAAAATATGGACAAAAAAAATCATCAATTATGTTGAATAATCCGAAATATAAAAATTAATTTTCAAAATTAATATTTATATTGAATAAATACAAATTTGTAATTGTAACAATAAAATATGATATTTGTAGATAGATAAATATGGATAACAAATATTTAATAATTAAGTGTGTGTTTGGAAACACTTTTGAAATGAGCTTCTAGATTTAAAAGTCCATCTGAATAATTTTAGGGTGTTTGGTGATTTATATTGAATGCACTTTTGAGAAAAGTCACTTCTCAATAAGTCCATTTTGTAGAAGTGAGAATTAGCTACTTCTAAAATCTATTTCACAATTATTCCCGATAAGTAACTAAAGCACTTATTTAAAATGAGATTCACCAAACATATGTGAAAATTGTGTAAGAACTTTTGTAAATGCACTTAATGAAAAGTCCATTTTTAAGATGGACTTTTGTAGAACAAGTGCTCCCAAACAAAGCCTAAGTTGGCATGACTTTTCAAAAATATTTAAAAAAAAGTTTCAAATGTTTTATTCGTTAAATGATTGACCGGAATTTTGTAACTAAATTTACACGTTTGACCGAAGAATTTTACTGAAATGATTGATCGAATTTTTTGGAAGCAATATTTTTACTATTTTTCTCATTATTGACCAGATTTACCCGTAGCATTTAAGAAAATCATTGGTCCATATTTTCATAAATTAAGGCTTGCACAATATCTTTCTCAAATAACATTTTTTTTAACTTGAATTCAAATTCATGTTGCCACTATTTTACAGAAAAAAAATAAAAAAAAAATAAAAAAAAATACTAAGGATAGGAACTTTGAAAATTTTAAATGAAAATATTAATACTATTTCAAATAAATCCATCTCTCTATTATATAGTAATATATACAAATAAAATGACCGGTGAAAATAAATGTAGATATTTTTATTTAAAAATAGCGTAATTTGAAAAAAAATAATAAGTAAAACATTTTATCATTGCCTTTTTTTTATTGATCTCTTAGGTTTTTATTTTCAAATAATAATGTTAATAACTAGAGAAAAAGAGTGTGATCGGGTGTCAACTGACATAAAATGAACCAGAAAATTTGGACCTACTCCGTCTGAACTACATATGTAACCAAGAGGTACAAACTCCATAAAAGAGACAAAAGAACACGCACAAAATAACTCCATAAAGAAAACAAGAGCTTCATGAAGGAGACTGAATGTCAGACGCTGTTGGACTTAGCAAAACGAAAAACAAAGGAAGACAAAAGAAAAACACACTTAATAAACAAATAGAATAACACCTCCCCTAATCCTAGCAGGTGAACCAAGCGATCACTTAAATCGACAGCCGAGTCACGAAACACAACAATGAACCCCAACAAAGCTACAAAATTAGACCCCAAACTCGCAAACTGCGGCCACTCAAACTGCCTAGACGGATATGGCAAGGAGGTCGTTCTCGATCCAAATTTTGGACTCCGAGGATCTTCGGCGTGAGGAAAAAGAAAGGGAGCCACCAAGAATACACCAGAGGGTTCAAGAATAGTACCCAAGGAGTAGGGCTGCTCATTCGGTCAACCAAACCGAACCGAACCGACTGAATATTTGGTTAACCGAAAATCGGTTTGTCCATTATCATAAAAGAAATCCGAACCGAGATTTACAGTTCAGTTCGGTTCGATTTTTAAACGAAAATTCAACGGTCGGTTCGGTTTTTGGTTAATCGCAATAAATAATTAATTTTCTCAATAAATTATGAATAACCAAACAAAATATTTGATATTTTATTTCTCAATAATAATATTATTATTTGTCACCTTTTTTATTCTTCTCAACAAATTCTATATTCTTCTCAAAAGAAGATCTCGGACCGAACCATGACTTGAACTATGACGAAGTAAATCTTGAGTGCAATTTAATGCTTGAGCCATTTTAGGAGTCATTGAAGCTTGAAGATCATCAGTCATTGAAGCAAATTAATGCTTTTTTAGTTTATATGTATAGATAAAAATCATGTATGTATATGTGTAAATCGCTTTTCAGTTCTGTTCGGTTAACGATCCCAATTATCCGAACCGAAATAAAAACCAAAAACCGAACTGAATATTCGATTTCAGTTTCGGTCCAAACCGAATTTTAGTTTCGGTTGATTCAGCTCGTTTAACTGAATTTTGTGCACCCCTACCGAGGAGACCCACACAAGGCTACTCTCAGTCGCGCGGCTCAACGGACTGGCGATGCAGCCGAGCGGTCACAACCTCCAAGACTCAAAACAAAGGCGCGTGAGACCAAAACTCCAGCAGATCGACAGTTTTTCTCGACTGGGGGCTAGAAGCGGCGGCCGACGACCCCCTCCAAAGCCGAGGGGCTAGGCAGGAGGCGAGACCCACCACTGGCGATTTCTCTTAGGGTTTCTTCAATAGAAATTTGTATCTAAATATTAAGCACTTTTAACTAATCATTTTTTTTTTTTTTTAAAAAAAAGCTCATAATCTAGCTCATCCACGCTCTCTTCAATATCAATATAATTAAATAATATTAATCATTATCCTCATATATCAATTCACATAATTTTAACTAAACATCACTTACAATCACATATCTTTTACTTTTAGGTATTATTTTAATACAAAATCAAAATTTCACTCGAACCTAACCCAACTAACTTTTTTAAAATTAATCATGTTTAACCAAAAAAATTCAATCAAAACTCAATCAAATTTATATTCAAACACCCTCTTATGATTTTATTGGAACTGGTAAAAGGTTGGTTGGATATAAATCAATGAGTTTTGATTGATTTTGACTTTAATTTTGATTAACCATGATTAATTTTAAAAAAAAAATTAGTTGGGATTAGGTTGAGTGTGATTTTGAGTTTTTATTAAAATTATATTTAAAATAAAATGATTAATGTTGATTTGATGATAAAGTAATAGAAAGATAATTGGAAGCAATTGGGTGATTGAAAGCATGATTGTCAAAATCGGACCAGACTGGCCGATTAGACAGAGAATCTGTCAGCTGATCAACCCTGTTCGCTGGAATGAACCGCTTGACAGCACTGGTAAAAAACACGTCAACGACCAGTTTGAACCTCTCCATATTTTTTAAAAATAAATTTTAATATATTTAAAAATATTTTTAATATAAATAAAATATTTTTAATAGAAATAATAAATAATTATTTACTAAATCTTTGCATATTTATCGCTTATTTGTCACATAATTTATCGCATAATATGTCTACATTTGTTCAATTATCTTCATTCGTATGTCACACGATGAAGTTATATCTGCTCAATTATCGTTTTTTTTAATTAAATAATAACTATGCTAGTAATAATAATAACTGTGCTAGTAATAATCGCATATTACGAATTTACCAAATATGTAATTTTAAATAAATTAATATGAAATTAATTATGCGTATTACGTTTCGCATAGTCATCGCGTATTTTAATAGAAAATAAAAGAAATGGTTATGTGGATCACAATTTGACACATTTTTAATAAAAAATAAATAAAATAATTATGCGATTCAATATTCGTATCTCTTTGAAAGTACATTGTAGTGTATGTGAAACATTTTCATTATTTTTTTTTTCTTTTTTCCTTTTTGTATGAAATAATAACTATGCGGAACATACACGTCAGAAAATCTGTCGAGTAATAGTAGAGTACGAATTTTACCAAAGATAAAATTTAAATAGATCAATCTGTGATTGATTATGCATATAAAAATTCACCCAATAATCGCATAAATTAATAAAAAATAAAATAAATTGTTAAAAATAAACTGATTTACGACTAAAATGAGATAGACCCACAATTGAATGAACTGTTCACCTTGATCTCGGCATATATACTCGCCAATATGTCACATTATCGCATGATGTTAACATATTTTCTCAATTATCTTCGTATTTCTGTTGCATAGTTTATCCATATTTATTTCACACTTTCTTAATTTACTCCATTTGGTTGTCGTACAG